ATTAAGTAGCATACATCCTTCAACTTACTTCCCATAGATATTCATCAGGGCATTGTAGTTTTTGTGCGTCAACATCACTCCCTTTGGTGGCCCTGTCGTTCCACTGAAAAAGGGTTTATGCGATATTATTCTAAATCAATTTAGTAATGGAAAAGCACACTTTCTGTTCCATAACTCTAAATCACTCAGATTTATGATTTTCATTCCTAGAGGATAAATCAATAAATTCACGAATCCATAATTTAAGCTATACACTAGACCTTTTACAAGATATATCCATGTTTTTAATCTAATCAAAAACTACGTTATTGCTGTATTATCTTACAATGATTTGGGTCCATTCAACAGTGATTTCACAAGTTATCTACATCCTTCAACAGCTACTCTCAGCTTTCAACATCTCATCTCCAGAAGGCACGTTTCTAAAACGCAAAAGCGAAATGTACGTGGTCAAGGAATCCAAAGAGATTTTTGATTTCTTTAATCCGTTTTCAAATTTCCCAATACTCACTTAGATGACGCCTTACTACCCTCTACGCAACCAGCCTGTTCCAAGGCTTTCAAAGCGCGAGAAATTTAAACGCATATTTTCAATAATCCAATCTAACCCGTTTTTAAGCAAAAAGCTGACGAATAACCTCCACAGTTAAGGGGAAAATGCGCTAAAAGGAATTTAACGATTGATGTAAAACTCCCAAAATTTTCTCCCTCGAAGGCCTGACAGAGAAAGATGATTCTCGAACTCTCATAAATTCATAAAAAGGAGACGTATGGGAGTACTCACGCCTCCAAATATTTTTCTGCTGCAACGCGGACCTCGACTGGCAGTCTGGCCTATTTCAAACGAACGTTCGGGTTCCTCACTTACCTTGAATAAGGCATGAAAATGGGATCTCGATCAACGTCAACAGATGGAGCAGCAAAGTATGGATCAGGAGGTGTTGCTAAGACTTCCTCCCACTGGTGGCAGTTGACCGGAAATGTGGCCGAAATCCCGCTACCCACGCAGATGATAAGCTAAATTACTAACGAGTATCAATTACTATTGAATCATAGTTATTTGCCTGGTCAAATATCACATTGCAATTTAACATAAAAAAGCAAATTCAGTATGTTTCACTATGCATTTTAACACTAACCTTTATCGAAGGGCATTCTTGCACAGCGTTCTGCACTTTCTTTAGAGATTCACGATTGGTGAATACTAGTTTCGCACCACAGTCTTGAAAATGACGTCTAAGCTCATCTGAAATCATTTATAGCATTATTCTAAGTTCGTGAAGGACCCAATTTTTGTTTTGTTCTTTTTTATAAAATCTCCCTCTCGGAACTACAGTATAGGTTGACGCGTATATATCCGCCGTTCTTTTAGGAGTATTCTACCATGTTCCGTTGCTTAGGAAATATAATGAGGTCTTGTGCTCATTTGTATCCTTTGCATTTTTGAAGAGAAGGCGGACACCCCGG